TGGGTGTGGGGGAGAGTGTCGCCCGAGAGGGGGGGGGGGGGAAGAGTGCCTGGCTTGCTTTTATAGCTGTAAATAGTTGAAACATTAGGTTCTGTGTCAGTCTGGCATCACTTGTACAAGGGGAGCCTTTTTTAGCAGTTTAAATCCCATCAGTCCAATTTGCAAGCTTTCATTTTTTTATCGTTATAATCTGAATGAAAGCAGGCTACCTAGGCTGGGTCAGAATGCTCTTGCTTTCTGCTGTAAACATCCTTTCTAATGGCTTATTAATTAACCCTGTGCCAGAATCCATCACTTCACCCAAGTGTTTTTCTCTACTAGTATTTCCATTTATTTCTCTGGGATTTATTACAATTCAGAAACTTTTAGGGTGGCAGACTGTGAATCTTAACATCAATGACCAAGTTAATTTGGATTGAGATAGGATGGGAATTTAAAGAGCACTTGCTTTACAGATACTTCAGCATAATTCTTTGTATGGGTGCCCTGCTGCCATAGTAAGGGTGTGCTGCTAATCAGTAATCCACTTTCAAAGATGCCTGAGCAATGCATCTTCCATGCCTAGGGTTAACTCTTTTGGATGTAAGTAGTACCTAAACTAAACAAAATGTCACAGTTCCTATGATCTCCTTCCACTCTTAAGATGCAAATGTTGCTTGTACTGTTACTTAGGGATGTAAATGATTTGCAAGAAAAAAGCACAGGCTACCATTTTCTTGGTTTACATTTTAACAGGTTTAACTATGGGATTAGCTCCTCAGTGCAGTTCAGTATATCTTAATCTGCTTTAACGATTTGCTGTGTGCACACACACGTTGTTTGTCTTTATGTTTCAGCATCTGACTCAATAAGAACAAGACCGTACTTTCTTGCTACATGTGTTCATGATGTTCTTTGCAGGGAGTATGCGTGAGTCCACAGGATTTTTATATGCTTATGCTTGAAATGTCAACATGAATCTATTTGCTCCTTTTGGCATGTAAATACAAAAAGGGTTAAAGGATGAAAAAGCAGTAGAGATGTTTCCCAGAGAAAACAGCCCTACTTTGAACTAAAGAGAGATTTTTTCCAGTTTAGCTTTTCAATGAGAGTGGCAGCAATTGGCAGGAGGATCCAACTTTTACAACTATGTTTTGAATGTATGAAGTACGTTGCTTAGCTACTAGACGCCAAGCCATGGCTGCATGTTTTGATGGGCTCTGAATACCGTCATGCTAATTTTTGAGCATCCAGATGTCTTCTAAATGGCTTGTTTTGTAGGCGTGGGGTAAATGTGTGAGGTACATTTTCCGTCTTTGTTTACTAACTGAGGCCACCATGAACTTCATGTCTCTGTGTCAACAGAATAATATTTGCAAATCATTTGTCAGCTGAACACATGTCCTCAACTGTATGTAACTGTTTACATGTAGTTAGAATCTAAATGCTTGTTGTCATACAAGTCTCTAATATACTAATTATCTTCGTTCTGGAGTGACATTTACTTGGATGTCATTTCTGACACCAAAAGAAGCTCTGAAAAATACCAGCTTACTTGAGTTCCTTATAAAGGAAAAGTCCCATCAGAATTCAGCACCATCACTTCCTTCTCTTCTGTTGTCATTGCTTGTTTAAAGATAAAATAATAACCATTGGTAGACTAAGAGCATGCTGGCAGATTTCCCTCATTATAAAACTAGTACTGGTAATTCAAATTATGATCAACATCATCATTCATACTAGGAAGTACTTCTCATGCAGAAAGATTTTTAGAAGAAGATTTACTGATTCTAGATCAAAACATCCACTCACTTTCAGTGCAGAGCATAGTAAATAGTAAATAAATATGAACATGAGTTCAGTTTTGGGTGATACACACATGTTAAAGCTATTTTAAGGCACTATATTGTGTATCAGTAATGGCAAGGACCGTGTAATTATCCATTAGCTGCACCAAATCCGATGTTTACTCTGTAACTGCAAGGAAAACTTCAGTAACATGTCTGGTTGTTGTTTGTCACCTGGGTAGGAGGCTGGGAAAACTTTCAATGGGCACAGAAATTGCCTATCACTAAATATCACAGAAACTTATTTGGGGTTCCGTAGTGATTAGGTAAGTTCCCAAAATCTAATAAGGAGAAGTGTATTTTCCCAGTGGTCTCAATATCTCATTTTTACCCATAATGACCAGCATCAATCTTGACAGAGTCCTGATGTGTCAGTACCAACAGGTGATCATTTTCTAATAAAAACAGTGAGAGTTCTGTAAGGTGGCTTGGCTTTAACAACCTTAGGGAATACATGGCCCCCCTGCTGTTTGACTACTTTGTGGTTGAGTCCTTGACAGCAGCTGTAAATTTTTGAGCCTCATGCATCCTCAGAGCATCCTCCATAGAATACAGTGATCATCTGGTGGCCAGGTGAGTCCTTTGCACCATAAGGCAGTGGAGAATCATGTTTGGTGGGGAGGAGGAAGAGCTTGTAAAGTCCTCTTCCCCTGCTTTGTTCCCAATGGCAGTGAAGTCAACAGCAAATTTAGAATTTAGTCCATTTCAGGCTTTTTTATTGTGAACAGTTCTTGGAAGCTGGAAGCAGGTTATCTACAGCCATCAGGTTTTTATGGGTGCAACAGAATACTTGGCAGATTATTTGTCACAGGAGAAAAACATGTTGGACGTGACTTGCAAACTGCACTTGAACTCAGACTGTTCTTTTCTGAGGTCTAGCCTGCTTTGCAATTATCCTCTAGAATTCATCCAGTCTATTTCATTAGTGACCCTTAGTTAAATTTCAAGTGAACTATTGAATGCATTTGGACAAAATCCAGTTCTCTTGCTTTCCTTTTCCCCCAATTCTGAGTCATGTGAAAATTAAAGCAGATATTTCTCACAGTAGATACAGGCAACAAGAGCAAGAAAAAATACTTTCCAAAGTGCTTGTTAGCATCATCTGTGATAGTGCCATCATGCCTGGCTCTAACAAAAAGTTCATGCTCAAGCCAAAGGCTTCTGTCCTGCTTTTTTCTACAGTAATTATATGGGTCTTATGTGTATGATTTAGTTTAACTGTCAGTCTGACAGTGCTGTTGAAATTTAACAGCAAGCTTTTGAGTATCTCAGCTCTAGAGATGATAATTTCATTGCGTGGAGCACATGCTTTGTTTGGCTCTAGTTTTTTGTTTTTGTTTTTTGTTTTTCTTTTTTATATTATCATCTTCCCACAGTTATTATCCCATATTAGTAAACCAGGTCACTGTACCAATGGTCAATAGAATAATATATTTCGCTATTGTTTATTACCCTGAAGAAATTGTAATCTGATGTGTCTACCAGTTTCATAGCATTTTCACCAATTTTGTTGCAAATCTAATACATTTAGATAATGTTCCTGGGGAAAATAAAGTGGGACCTAATTTGTGCTGGAGAAGTAGCATGGTTCACAGTAATCTACAAAGATGCTCTGGATTTTCCCCACAGAGGAACTATGGATCAGGCAAGGTAAATTGCACATTTTTCCTTGTTCACCAGTCACCAGTTTTATAACTGAAACTTGGTAGAGTCCAAATACTTTATGTGCATTTTGTCAATATTTTTAAATGATGTGTGGTTTTCATAATGCTGCTGTGTTTTCTTTCTATGCTTCAGGGGAAAAAAAGTTTTGTTAATCTCTCTATTCAGAGCATGAAAGCTCAATCTAGTTTAGGCTTTATTTCTAGTACTTTGTTGCAGAGTATGCTTGGATGAGGAGTGCCTGTACCATATAAGGGAAGAATGAGAACATGCCTAAATACCTGGTCTGGTGAAGAGGTAGTTTCTGAAGCCAGCGAGCGTAGAATGCATGTGCTAAACTGAGCCCTACACACACTGTTTTCTTGAATGTCACCTTACTTAGAATTCAGAAAGCCTGCTCTATACATTTGATATTTAAATGCCCCAAAC